GAATAAATAATATATATATATATATATATAATGTAACGACCCGACTGGTCTTTACACACCGCACAGCACACTAGAAACACCACACAGAAAGGAACAAGTGTATGCATATAGGGTCTATAATATATACATATACAAGGTCCAATTCTGGATAGAGTTAAAGTGTACAAAATACATCAAATGCTACTATACCAAGTAGCTAAAACAACAAAACATCCTAAAGGATCAACTCTGTCTACCGGCTACAAACTTACCACCAGCCACCAACCTATCCTTGTTCTGCTCTCATACAATTGTATGAACATCACAGTCCAAACACATGGAAACAACAAAGGGTAAGCTAGTGAAAAGAAAATCAACATACATATATAACAATATGAATGGAAAACAGCTACAACTATCAGCACATCGATCAGCTTATAATACATCACAACATTCAGCAATATCAGCACCGCAAAACGGCAATACCAGCACTGCATAGCAGCAATAACAGCACCACTCTAGTGGCTATAACAGCACCGTTTAGCGGCAATAACAACACCGACTTAGCGGCTATAACAGCACCACTTAGTGGCAAAACATCACACAACACAACTTAACAGCCCAGCTAACACAACTCACATCATAACACAACACATAAAATCAGCATATAGCACAACTAAGTAGTATTTAGCACAGCTTACTACTCACAACTCAACTCAATAGTCTATAGTACAGTAATATTATAATTCAACATTTAAAAATCATCAATAACAGCCCCTCTCAGCACGACAATACACATCTATTACAGCTTAACATCATTAGTCGGCATTATCACCTAGTCAGCACATCATATTCATCAATTACAACTTAGTTCAGCATAATTCAACAACTATCAGCATACAATTCATCATTATCATATGCGCCCAGTGCACTCATGGTCGTGCCCCGCGTGGTGCAACCAGAGAGTACCAGTGGTCAACGCGCCCAGCGTAAGAGTGCTCGCGCCTGGCGTGACCCAGCCAGAGAGTCCAAGGCTCTTACGCGCCTGGTGCAATACAAAATTGCGCCCAGCGCATGCTCAGGCAAAGACCCTAAGGAGTCTCGCGCGTCCGGCGTGCCCTAACCCGCGCCTAGCGCGGGGAAGGCAAAGACCTCCCAAGGTCTCGCGCCCAGCGCAATTCAAATTGCGCTCAACACCTCCATGGCAGAGACTCCCAAGGAGTCCCCACGGCCAGCGCGACAAGGGTCGCGCTCAGCGTGGAACCAGAACCCAAAAACATGCCACATACTGCCAGCGCGCTCGGCGCAGTCCACGTCATGCCCGGCGTGGGCCATCCAGAGGCTCCCATCTTCAAGATCGCCCGACGCACACACCTTTACGCCCGGCGGGCTTGCCCAAATGGAGCCCTCTGATGGTCACGCGCCCGGCGCGACGAACTGCGCTCAGCGCGAAGCTCAGCAGCAGCTTCACCAAGTTCGAAAATTTGCCCAAAACCTGCAAAAATCCACTCATCCAGCACATGCAATCCAACCAAAAGTTCACATTTTAATTCAAGAGTTCAAAAATATAATCTTTTCACACATGCAATCATCAAACAAGAAAAATCCAAATTTTTCCTGCAACACCCCAAAAACATATTTTCACAAAAACAGCCATCCATCTCAGCCAAAATCATTCAACATCAAACAATCCATGAGTTGCTAAGCTCATTTTCATCCAGCCATCAAGAAAACTAGCTTCCCTTACCTCGGTACAAGAATTCTGAGCTTCCGGGAAGAGAAACGGAGAAGAAGATTGAAGGAGAGCTTGAACGAACGCCGAAGGAGAAGAAAGAACTCCGATCACCCAGCTAGCAAAGACCCAATTCACTCCGCACCACCACCTTGTGTCAGCCAAGAAGAAGGTCAAAAGCAAAAGAGTGAGTAAAGAGAAATGAGAGTTAGAGTGTGAGGGTGAAGTGGGAAAAAGTAAAGGAAGGGTCTCACATATAAACAATATTTTAAAATTATATTGTCTATTCAAGTTAACGCATATTATAATTTTCTTCAATGCATCAAATGATATATATTTATTATTAATAAATAAATAAAATTTATATATTATTATTTTTATAATATTATTGATAAATTAATATCAATAATATTATTAGTATATTTATAGATAAACTAATAATTCGATAAATATAATTTATTATATATTAATATACTTTTACAAAAATATAAGTATATTAATTAGAAATATACATATATTTTGTTATATATTTATATTTTTATAAAATTATATTAATATATACTAAGTCATATTTATCAAATTATTAATTTATATATAAATATACTAAAAATATTATTGATATTAATTTATCAGTAATATTAAAATACTAATAATATATACATATAGATATAGATAAAAAAAAACAAACAAATAATAATCTTCAACACTTCATATGAGATACTAAAAAAAATTTATTTGTTTGATTTAATTTCTTCAAAATTTTATATTTTACTATTTATCCACAAATAAAAGGTATTTTTTTTACAAATGTGTTTAATTCAAATAAAAATTAAGCTAAAGATGAGTTGGCCAAACGAACTCTATACATATCCTAGTAAGAGAACTAATTGAAGTATATGGTAGAAAAATTTAGAACCATTTGTTAATAAAAAATAACCAAAAGACAATAGTTGACAAGTGGCAACCAATGGCAGTATAAAAGCACAATCGGTTAATTACATTACTATTAAATAAGCTCCAGTACTTATTTTTTGGACTGCAAAGTGCTAATAGTTAAAGCGAGGGGAACGATGCTAACTCCCACGATTACAGATTACTTATTCAAATAAATACCTAGTGGCTCTTAGATATTTTCTTGCGTCCTCAAACCTCCGTCACTCGTTTCTCTCTCTCTCTCTCTCTCTGCGTACGGTTACAGACTCTATTTCGTAGCTTCAATCCTCCGAAGCAGATCTCACATTCATCCTTCAATGCTTCGTTTTCTTCTCTTTTCGGATCCATTCATGGATTCTGATTCTCAGTTTACGCGATTCTCTCGTCGAATTTCGTTTCCGAACTGCATTCACGCTCCAACCTTGCTCGCTTCGCTGTTCTCGCATCTTCGTGGATTCCGCTCTCATGAAACGAGTTGTCTCGGTTTCTGTTCCGTTGAAGAACGGTGAGGAGGTTTCTTCTTCGGAATCCGTTTGGTTTCCGAGAATACGCGCGAAAAAGAAAGGTAAAACCGAAGAACTAAAACGAAACGGTGATCTTAATTGCACCGAGCCCTAACTATTGCACGATTTCTTCTCGTTTAAGAAGAGAAGAATCGTTTTAGCCTGTTTTTGGCTACACCGCGGCATCACGTGGTGCTTCTTTTGTCGTAAACTTACCTGTGCGTTCTCATGTTATATAGGGTAGAGACGTTTTTTAATCTTTGTGGAGCAATGATCTTTAGATGGAGACGTGTTTGAATCTCAGGTAAATAAGAAACTACATGTACTGTGAATGCTATTTTAGTTGTTTTTAATTGGTGATGTGTTGTTTTATTTTATTTTCGCAGCTATTAGTACAGTCTTATATATTCCAGTAGTATACTTTGTTGGTTTCGTTGCTTTGATTATATCAATTCGAGTTCCATTATTTGAACATAAAAAAAAAAGACATTGCACAACGTATATAATTACCACTCTCTCTCTCTCTCTCTTAATTTTATTTTATTTTTATCTTTTCGTATACATAACTTCTCATTTTCCTTAAACGTAAACTTTACCCCGTCGAATGCCTTTATGTTTCCTTGTTGCTTTTTCTTTCTTTATTTTCTCCCTCACTGAGATGAGTATCGTGTCGGGAATACTCCTTTGGGTCTCAACAGGGGTTTTTAGTCTATAGTTAATGACCTTTTGTTGTACCTAGGTTTTATGTTAAAAATATAATGAAAATAACCCCCTAGTTTAGTTTGTGAGTTGCTCAGTGTTTCTTCTTGTAGCATTATCCCTTGGAAAAAAAAAAGGTGCCGATCGGACGAGCTTTCTGTTGCAGTCCGCATGTCTTATCGAATTCTCATCAAGTTGATGGAAAATAACTTGCTGGCTATTTCTAAGAGAACAAACTTAGGTGGAATTGGATTGATATCTAACTAGATTTTATCCCGGAATCTTTTCGTTACCGTGTGTTTGTAATTGACTTTATTATTCTATATCTTTATTTATATGTTTATTATTTCTGGCAACATTTGAGATGTCGGATAATGGGTTTGCAGATGTACGTGAGTTGTTTTATTTCCACATTCTCGGTCTGTTAACTTATGGCTTTTCAAATTATTATAATCAATATAACACAATTATTCATAGTATGCCATCATGTAATTTCATTATTTTTATTCCCAATTTCAATTTTGAAGTGATTTTGTTGCTTAATTAAATCTTGTTAAATATTTTTGCATATCCTCATATTAGATTATTTGAACTTTTATTTGGTAAATAACTTAGAATTTGAGGTGGAGTAAGTCAATCTACAAAAGCGTATCCCTGCGTTTGAAAACAACATAAATTTAAGCAACATTGCATGAATTTTCAAAACTGCCTTGACCTATATACATTTGAGACAATGCGCACATACTTTGCATCTCTTGGAATGGTTAAATTTGTTTATTCTCGTGTATAATTTACTCAAATCTTGTTTAATGGTAAGGGTCTATTTTGAACTTTTCACTCATCACAATGCATTCCGGTGATGTAGGACGCTGAATATTTAGTTCAAAGATAGGCTATACCATTCGGGATCGTAGGAGAATGGTCTGGAGCAAATATGTTATTTTGGCTATGAACACTCGAGTTTGAAGGCAATTAATTGCTGATGTTGAGAAAATATTGGTGGATAATTTTAACTAGAAGCCAATATTTTTGAACAAATGTTTTCAAGACAATTGAATGCTTTAAGATTGTGAAAAGTAGTGAAGGGTGTGGGGTGAGTTTAAAGAGAGCAATATTAAATGGTCTACTATTGTTTTACGTGATCCATTACAACTTCCTATAATAACCATGATAGAATTGCTTGTGGTTTATTAAAATTCAAAAAGCATCTTAGAATTTGGGTTTGGTCTAACCCAACTCTAAAAGCTAATTCATGGAGTGAGGGTTGTCCCCTACTTATATTTACTATTTTAACTTTATTAATAGTCAATTTGAGCTTATAAGCAAAATAAAATAGTAGACTTGATAAACTACCATGTTTGCTTTATCCAGTGCTATAAAGTTGCATTTGGTTTTATGAGACAAATAATTTTAGCCTTTGGCCTCCTAATAAAGGAACTGAGGACTTGTTTGGTCCTTTAAGTTTTTGTTTTTGAAAACTATCTTGAAAAATAATTTTTGAGAAGGGTTTTCCAAATAGAAAAGCTCTAAAAATTTGTTTGAGTCTTGATTTTCAACTAGAGTTTGTCATTTTTCTCTTGCTTGCTGCTCTTCTCCTCCTTCACTGTCAGTCTTTGTAGGAAAGCTCCCTAAATCAGGATGACAAAGATCTCAACTTCCTTGAGGTAATCATTAGAAAAGGATTGATTTTATTAATTTGTATCACAGTAATTACATTTTTAGTCTCTTTACTATAGGGAACAATTGTCCCTAAATAAGGGAACTGTGGAAATAAGAAAAAAATACTACATAATCTTTGGGATTCCCTAAAATACTTATATTTACAACACTCCACCTCAAGTTGGTAAAGGAATATCAATCATTTCCAACTTGTCTATAAGCTCTTGGGATCTATTAGTAGGAAGTGTCTTGGTAAGGATGTCAGCTGCTTGGAGTCTTGCTGGAAATGTAACAATAAGGCCACTATCTTTGATGAAGTGTCCGTCAATTTCAATATATTTGGTTCTATCATGTTGAACTAAATTGAGAGCAAGACCAAGAGCAATATTGATGGTTGACTTCTTGTCTCAACTTGATACGGCTCTCAACTTTAATCTTGAGGTCAAGAATAATCTTCATCATCGTCCTTCACATATATCTTGTGTCATTGAAACTCAGCTTCTGTACTAGATTGAGCAATTAAGTTTTGTTCCTTGCTCCTCAAAGTCATTGATTTCTTCTCATTGAGTTAGTTAATCTACAATTTTCCAAGTTGAATTTTTCTCCAATGCCTCCATCTCCTCCTTCATGACTTGAATTGAAAACTCATCTCCATAGGTTCCTAAATTGAAGTCAATACTTTTGTTTCATCAGTTGTAACTATAAAATTTTGATGCTAGACAAAGAGATGGTTAGTTCAGACATGTTGTGAAATAGGATATTTAACACATGACCTTTTTCCTTTTCCTCAAAGCAATAGGAGTATGATAATCATTAATGCTTACCACTTGAAGTCTTGAATGTTATCTTCAGAAACACTCACCTCTGAGTTAGACGATTCTTCTTGTTGTGAGACCAAATTTGGTTTCTCCCTCCTTTGGTATTTTTCTTGCCAAAGAATCAATCTTCATCTTCCTTGTATGCTTTATTATGAGCTTCTTCTTGTATCTCCTTTGTGGCCTCATTATGGTCATCTTGCATAGACAAGAAAGGTAATGAATCTAAACAAGACTTGTCTTTGTGTTATTGAGTTCTCTCCCCTTAAAGCCAAGGACTCAAAGAATAACTCATTTTCATGAAAAGTGACATCCATGGAGATAAAACCCAACTACTTTGAGGATGATAACACTTGTGCTCCTTTTTATTTGAGGGGTAACCAATAAAGAAACATATGATTGCCCTTGGATCTAATTTATGCCGGTGAGGACAATGGGAATGGACAAATGCAACACATTAAAAATATGATACGGTAAACTTGAACAAGATGAAAGAAATTAATAAATATTTGACAATTCTCTCTCTTTTTTTTTTTCTCATAAGATAGGTCCATGTAACTTGTATATAGTCATCGATAAAAATCACACAAACCATTTTGATGACAACTTCGCTAGCTTTGACCCCAAAGTTTTGGAGGCGTACACGAAACTTGCTGTGGACAACCAAGACGTTGTAAAGAGCCTGCTATTGAGTTGAAGGTTGAAAGAGTCATTTTGACCAAGCTGGGTGTCATGATCCACTCCTAGGCCATGACTAGCACTTAAGTAGACACCATTCCAATCAACCTTTAGTCGGGCAAATCCTAATGATAGATCACATTATGTTCACATACACATTACTAAATCAAAGAGCTATAAAAAATTAGTTTGCCCACTATTTCCAACATTTCAAATAAACAATTCTTGCTAATGACACATGTATACTGGATTCTATCACTCAAGTGAACAAGTGTTACATCATTTCATTTAGAGTTTTCATAAAATAGAAGCTATAGATTTAATGTACTTAACTCTAACATACTAACTACAATTCAAAAAGAATAGAAGAAGTCCTATACCTATATTTGCATCATATTGGATTCAACAATTACTAGCCTCCTCTATAAGTAGAAACCTACCAAAATATGAGAGAACTCCTTGACAAACCAGCAAACCCCGATTAACAATCTACTTGGCAACCTGTGAATTTGAAGAAAAGAGGAAAGGAAAGAATGGGTGAGGCTTGGAGATTCAATGCGAGCATAATAAATGAAATAGATAGGAAGGGGAAGCACATATGGCACGAGTGTTCACATTCAAATACAAATTTAAGGTAACAAAGAGAGGAAAGAAATATAAAATACAAAATAAATCATTTTATGAAGTCAACGCTTCCCCTTGAGACAACTCATTTATAGAGATAAAAATAAATTTTGACTAGTATTAGCAATTTTTTGTAAAGTTCACAAAGTTGGTTCGTAAGGTGAAGACTTCCTTCCAATGCTTTATAAGCTCTACTTAAGCCACATGTCTAGTAGATGTGGTTGGAATCAAGTTTTGCCATGGATATAAAGTTATTCATTCTTTTAGTTTTCTCTTCAGGCCTGAAGTGATGATTTGCATCAAAATTATCCAATTTTATTTGATTTGGGTATGTGAGTGAAGCTAGATTCTTTCTCTTTTTGATGGGAAAAAAAATATTTCTACTGAAATCTTTTTATCAAATTGAGTTATATGAAGTAAACTAGATTCTTTTTTATACTGTTAATATATGTTCAAGCTCAATAAATTCAGTTGCTCTGCTAAGTCATTTTAGAGATCTATCATCTTTTTGGCCATTCTTGAATTTCTTTGGTTTTTTAAAAGACTTCATAACTAATAAAAACTATCTCTGCTACTGTTAGACAAATATTCATGAATGCTTAGTATTGAGCATGTATCGACATGTAAGAGCCCTTTGGGCTTGAAGCATGGGCAATGTACATATTCACCTACCCTGTGCTCAAATTCAACTTTTATTTTGAATAAAGGAAGTGGCAAGGATCAAACTGTATATTATTTGGTCGTATACGGGTTTTGATATCTTATCTGCAGTGATTTATGATAATAATGTCATATTGTTACTGTGGAAGTCTTACTTCCGTCATAGCACCCAAAGAATTTTGTTTGTTTATTGGTGGTGTTCTTTCCAATATTAATATTTTTATGCCTTGTTCAATAATAAGTACTCAGTTTACACAATTCTGTTCATTTAATTGTTTCTAGGGTGTAAATACAATGACGGTTTTAGTTTTGATTCTCAATAACCATGATTGTAAAAGTCAGATTAAAAATGCAAGTTTCATTCTGAAGCATCGAGTTGCATATTGATTTTTGCCATGTGTTTGTGTTACACCTTTAAATTAATATTATGACACATTGACACTTCACTTTATGAGCTGTTTATGTTTTGCATTTTTTATTTATCAGATTTTCTATAAATATAATGATCTCTCTTCTCACTCACCTTTAGGTGCTTGAAGTATAGATTACTTATTGTCCTTTCCAGTTTAAAGAAGAATGATATTTATTCTTGTCTCTTGACCTTCTGATCATCTACATTTATTATGCAGTTCTGTTTTCTTCTCCTTTATTTTCTATTCCTTTGTAACTGATGCTATCAAGTCAACAAGAACAAAATGATAGGGTGATATTAACCAGTCATTTATGAACTTTAAGTGAAATTTCGGTGGTTAAGAGCTTGAGTTTATACCTGGTTGCATTTTAATTGTTGTAGGTATTTTTTCTTCCAATAGGTGTTTAATGTCATTTTGCAGTAGTATTGTATTCGATCTGCTGGAATCCATAAACATTTGATTGCAATGATTTTATCTGATATATTACTCACATGAAGGTTGCTTTAATGCGGCATTTTTCACCCATTTGAAGGCCAGTAATAATTTTTAACACTAAAACATTTAAAATGAATCACACATCTGTGCAGTTTGAATAATTTCTTCCTTGATTGAGTCTTAGCTTCTCATAAGATGCTTCATTGTTTCTGAAATACATGCTAGGGCTGCTTTTTCGTTTTTGATAATATCAAATTAAAATCACTTTAAGCTAATTAGCCCCTGGTCTATATGCTACAACATTATAAAGACATTGAAGTTAAAATCCGAGTCCATTTTTCTTGATAGCAATCAAGAAACATGCATGTCCTGTGAATGGATCATTGCAATTGCAGTCTGCTGCAACAATCAAAACAAATCTGACATCAATGCTTTGCTTCATGGTTAGTGGTCTACCAGTTATAAATAAAGGATCAATGAACATACCCCAATTTTGTACTTCCTGAAGGTGCCTTGTAGGGTTGTTGTTGTGGCTGACTTAGCTGGAGATTCACAGGCACTCGCAAATCCTCTCCTATGCTTAGACCATTTGTGAGAACAGAATTTCTGTTTGTTTCACTTTCATCTTTTGTTCCATAGACCTGAGTTAGTAAAACTCTTATAAAGTTCAGGATAAACAGCAAAAAAGGTTGTCCTCATTTAAAAAGTGAATCATTTAGTTTGAGTAGATTATATTAGTTTGATATGCCATCCAAACCAATACCTTCTTTTTCAATTCCATGTTTTCTTGACAAATTAGGTTTACCTTCTTATACAGTTCCACATTTTCTTGGTGAATGAGGCTTCCCTGCAGAAAATAGGAGCAATATTTTATTTAATGAATATTAGGATTATTAGTTTCTCTGTTTAAAGACTGACCTTTTGATTAAGTTCTTGTATTTCATCCATTAAAAGTTGATCCTGCATTTGACAATATTATGTTAACCATTATATCTTTATCTTCAAACTTGAGCTCTGCATTTTTTTTATAGAAAATACAAACCTTTTTCATACGGACACCACGGAGGCTAATTTCTAATTGGTTCTCCAAATTTTGTAATTCTTTGACTGTCAGGTTTGACAGTTCTTCCCCCATCATTTTCCTGCTACAGAAAACTAGAAGTAAATGTGTGTATTTGAAATTTGGAACCTAAATAATTGGTTGTGCGAGATAAATGTTAGAGACAAATGAGACAATGGATATATAATATTGAAACTAGAAGTAAAATGTGTTTTTATAATTATTCAAGAGATGTTTTCAACTCCGTGTAATCCTTATTAATAATATGGGAATGGATTCACTTGCTGCAGGAGTTTTTCTTGGTCATAACTCCACCTAAGAAGTCACTATAGAAGACCAATTTAAGAAGTCTGTCTGTTAAGTGATGTGATATTATCTTGATAATTGAATACCTAATTTTTAAAAAATTACACATTCATATGTGTAAAGTATAATAGCTGATAGTTAGTTTTATTTTAAAATGTATATTATATGTTAAAATAAAGTTGGTCAATGAAATATTGATTAATTTTTAAATTATATAAAATTTAGTATATTTAATGTAATTAATAAGAACCATATTGATGAATCTCAATGTTGAAAGAAAGTTATTGAACATATAAGTTTAACAAAACCTACTTAGTAAGTTATTGAACATAGTAAGTTTTTACTCAATAGTAAGTGGATTTCCACCAGGGGATGAGGAGGATAAGGAAGAGGAGGAATAGAAAATGGAAAAGTGGGATAAAAACAAAATAGTGGGTTGTTTGCAAGAGGTAGGAGTTGAAGGATAAAAAGTTCCAAGTAAATAAGCACACCAAATTTAGCTTTTCTAATAAGAACCTTGGGACAATAATACCACAAAAGCTAACTGCTGAAGTTGGAGAGCCCAAGCTTGCTGTTGTAGTTGGAGAGCGTGGTGCCTTATAAACCCCACAATAGAACCCCCATTCTTCCAATGTGGGGCTCAAGTTTCATACCTTACAACTGGACTTTGACATCCCTCCTTGTTTCACAGCCCCAGCCCCGTGCCCCCCTGCCCCCCACATGCCCATGCAGGTTGCTTGTGCAGTAGCCCTTTGACTAGTCAATAGTCATGGTGAACATTACAATGCTGGTGTCACCATCTGTCACTTGTTTGCAACTGAGAGACACGGTGGAAGTCTTTGATACCAATTGATAAGAACCTTGGGAGAACCACACCACACTACAAAAGCTACTCGCTGTGATTGGAGATGGCATTAAAAACCACTTATTAGAATCCCATACCTGGCAATTGGATCTTAACTTCTTGCCTTTATCATATTGTTGTTGTTGTTGATGATGATGATGATAATAATAATACTTTTGTTGTCTTCTCAAGGGTTGTTAGTTTAGAGGTAAAATGTGTTCAGCACATATACAAATCAAGACTTATCTTCTAGAGCCTCATTGGCAGTTCTGAAACTAGAATGTCGACCCTCGAGATATTTCTTCTAAACTCTTTAAGCTACTAAGCCTTACTAACTAACTATCTTACTCTTAACATTATTGTTACTATTTGAATGTGAAGAAGTTTGGGCCATGCTATGTATGGCGATGTGTCTGAAAATTTCTGTTCATCTTTATGATGGTATCTACATGTCCATGCAATATTGGAACCAATTAGGTTTCACTTCACATCATTCCGACCAACTTCTAGCTGTGTCTTATTAGCAGCTTGCACGTGGTCTGCTGCTCTTCACCTCTACTGAGATGCCTCAATTTTCTAAGTTGCCTTTTGAACTATGTTTTTAGAGCATATGTTATATATCTAGGTTGTTTTATTCAACTGAGTTTGTGGTAATGAGTCGAGACTTAATAAGTTCCAGCTTAGAGGAGGTTGACAGAATACTAGTGTAGATTTATCAACATATATTTAGCACATGTTAGATATTGTTTTGACAGAATAAATTTATTAAGATGTAGAAAAGCAATTAGAGAGTTTGAAGGATACAATGTCCTTAAAACACACAGAATATTAATAGCTGTTGTATTTAAGACATTTGGTTGTATTTAATAGCTGTTAATTAGCAATTTTGTTCCTCCTTAAAACAGATTTTTTTTTTCTAACTCTATGTTTCAACAAAAACAAACAAATGTAACAAATCAAAACAGTGAATAATCTTTTTAATGTCTTCTCTTCATTTCCATAAATTAAGCAATTCAATTCATTGGAAATACACTAAGATGTACAGTAGCCAAATTGATTTCACACCCTTCTTTTACTGCACCACTGTTTTGTGTTGAAAATCAATGTCCATTTGTGCCATCCTGTATTGGTTATGAAGTACTAGCACAAGTTGATTGAACACCAATTGGTAAACTAATAAGATACAATATTGAACACGGGACAGCTATTCACTGGCTGTCCCAGAGACAAAAATCTTGTAGAGAGTGTTCTGTACTCACAAACTACAATTAACTACACATATACCTAATTACACACTCCTATGACTAACTTCCATCATGCATTTTCTAATGCAGAATTACTAGTGCAATGTATCTTATTTTATACATACCTCCAATCCATCGATGTATCTTATTTTATACATACCTCCACTTGGGTCTCATTTCCCATCACATGTCAATGCATTTTATTTTTTGTATTGTATGAAAACTATCACTAACTTACGCCTGCACATGCTGATCTCTACATTTTTCTTATGTTCATATGGAAATGAGAAATTATATAGAATGCTGAATTGCATCAAAAACAGGCATGTATACTTTTAATAGTGACTAGTGAGGTTTTAATTACAGCTATAAATACTAGAGTAATTATCTCCTGAAATAGATTCTTAATCACATATCTAATTGACAGCTATACAATAACTACACTTAACCAAGATACTAACATGCTGAATATGCTAATAATTCTAGACTGCTATTAGGAGTTCTGTATAATTTGAATTATTCTTATAAACCCGTCTTTAGGATAAGCATATGTTTTTCTGATAAGGGTGTACCGATGACTTTCTTGCAAATTGTGTAATTGCTGCCTTAACATTGCTGCCTCCCTTTGCCAAAACTAGAAATTGAAAGAAGTAAAAGGTCTGATTAGATATTAGTGGAAGAGAAATCACCAGATATATATGTTTTATCAGAAATAAAGTTTTAGTCTCATAATTATTTAAATGATACAAAAAATAGAAAAAAATTTGATAATTATGAAGTGTGATCAGAATAACAAATTTATTTGGCACTTCTCATCTTATAAAGTGCTTGAAGATAGTTTAATTTATTATTAACATGCATGAATACTTTCAGAAATTTTAAATTTCGGTTTTGAGACCTGATAAATTGTTTATGATGTATTTATTGTTGTTGTTTTGGGGCTTAAAGTAGACGTAAGTGATTCAACCATATCTTGTTCCTTAGTTCATGCAAAATTTTGGGTTTCAACAGACTTTAGTGTTTAGGGTCCTTTAATTTGCTAGCAAAATTTGGCACGGGGAGAACCATTGATCTCCTAGAGTAGAAGTACTTGAATACTTTCTGCATATTACTTTATTCTCTTTCTAGCAAACTCAACCTATGACCTTTTATTGATAGTTATTAATTTGTCATCAATTAGAGTATTTTTTTAGTATTATATGCATAATTGTGCACGAGTAGTGTTAGGGAACTATTAAGAATTAGTGCTACACTTCAAAAAAGTATAAAAGTGGGAAAATAAAATAATTTCATTCATAACCATCAAACATCTTTAGAACACACTTAAATATTACCACTAGGTTTTGGGCCGAATAGGCCAATAGCCCATTTAGGGAAAATAACAACAAAGAAATAAAAGAGTCGTTTTAACTCTTAACATAATCTTTCACCCAATGTGGGCTTGATGTCAACTGCTTGGTCTAGCAATGTGTGGCCCACGAGGACTAACCTTGTCCTCAAGTTTAAGTGGGCTCTCCCTGGCAGGTGAAATTGATGGGGGTAATATGGAGGGGTTTTGAAATGGGGGTGGGGTGATATGTGGCAAGCTAGGAGTGGAGAGTTTAGACGGTGGGTCATTTTGAAGTGGGTGGGAGGTGATAAGATTGTTAGGAAATGAAGGCAAGGGGCCACGTGTGGAATTAGGTGAGAAGTTTAATGGTTGATGTGTCATGGGTGGAGAGCATGATAAGGCATTTGGTATTCCAAGTGAAAAAGTGTGAGGGGTTGGATATGGAGAGGAGTTGGGGGCTTCTTTGCAACACGCATTGGCAGTAGTGAGAAAGGTGAAGGGGTGAATTCATTGTCGAGAAATCGGGGCGGTGGGAAAATTCTAGATGGAGGTGTTGGGCCATGATAGGGATGAAGAAGAGAGACATGGAATACAGGGTGAATGCATGACAAATGGGGAATTTGCAACTCATAAGCTACAACTTTGATGTGGTGAAGGATTACGAAGGGGTTGAAGTATCGTTTGGCTAACTTGGCCAACAACTGGGACACGACAAACAACTATCAGTACAGGTGGAGGCGTAGCCAGACCTAGTCACCTTCCTTAAAGGTACAATCGCATCTCTTCTTGTTTGCTTAGGCAACCATACTTTGGTGAGATCTATGGAGATTTTCTTTTTAAATTTTGTAACCCATTTTGGCGTTCTTGGAGAGAATCTTTGGGGGTGAGCCTCGAGGTAGATTCTAGAACAAGATTTGAGAGACACAGAGGAAAACGTCCATAAAGAGCCTGAAAGGGTGACATGTCTATGGTAGTGTGGTACAATGTGTTGTGCCAAAACTCAACGAGGTGGAGGAAAGTATATCAACATTGAGAATAATCAAAAACAAAACAATGCAATTAAGCTTCTAAAGATTGATTCACAATTTCCAATTGATCGTTAGTTTTGGGATGATATGCTATGCTGTAACACAAGGTGGTGCCTTATAGGTAGAAAAATTCCTTCCGGAATGTACTGATGAAGAGAGGGTTGCGATTTGAAGTGATAGATTTAGTCACTATATAAAAATGAAAAATCTCAACGGAGAAACGTTGCGCCAGATCTTTTGCTAAGAAGTGGGTAGGTAACCCCAAAAAATGCATATACTTAATTAATCGATCTCAAAGGACCCAATTAACGATATGGCCAAATGAGCACGACAAGTGGGTAACGAAATCCATGGTGATCTCCTCCCAAACCTTGTGTGGAACAGGTAAAGGTTGTAGCAACCTTGTTTCTTTTGAGTAATATTTTTGTTTTGTTGGCAAATAGTGCAATTTTTGATGAACTATTTGGTTTGTGTGTAGGCTGACTAGTAAAAAGAAGTGACCAAACTAGCCACCATGGGTTTTACTCTCAAGTGGTTGACATATGGGGTGGAGTGAAATTCCTGAATCGAAGAAGCACACAAGTCATCTATGGTCGGAATGTACAAACGATTGTGAAAATATACAAGGCCATGAGTAACATGAAAAGATCCCTGCATATATCGGGATTTGCATCAATTTGTTGTATAAAATCGATAACATTTGGAACTTTAGCAAAGTAGTGGCACAAATGAGTGATGATAGCAAGAATGGGTGAAGTAACCAAAAGGAATGTTGAAATAGCACAAAACTACTGGATTTGCTCAAGTGTTAAGTTTTCCAAGTTTGTAAAAAATATCAAAACTATATACCCTTGAATTTGCAAGTCCACTTTTGTTGCTTTGGGGTTTGAATAGTTTGATGCATGAGGTTCTTAAACTCTTCTGATTAGTGTAAATGGAAAAATGCCTTCCAATGAGATATTGACACCATTTTTTAATGGCTTCTGTAACAGCATAAAGATACATGATGTAGGCGGATGAAGCTTGCAAGTAGAGGCCCATCTTTTTGCTAAAAGAGGCAATTGGGTGCCCTTTATGGGTGAGGACAACTCCAATAGCTACACCGAAGGCATTGATTTCAGCTGTAAATGTAGTAGCAAAGTCCAAAAGTTGGAGAATAGGGGTTGTAGCAATGTTTGTTTCAATTTTGTAAAGGCTAAAGTAGCCTCGTGAGTCTAAAGGAATTTTCGTAATGTAAGCAAATCAATGGAGGGGAGGTGAGGTGGCGTATTGCCTAGTGAACCCGCGATAAAATCCAGTGAGCCCCAAAAAGTTGTGGAGTGCCAAGAGAGATTGAGGTTGTGGCCATTCATGGTTTGCCTTTAATTTATCTTGATTAGGAGTGACCATGTGATCAAAGATAACATGGCCTAAATAGGACTTTAAAGTCACATAAAAAACACACTTAGAGAATTTGGCAAAAAATTGATTAGTGACTAGAAATTTGAAAATCAATGTTAAGTGTTGTAAATGATCAGCATTAGTAAGATCTAACTTAGAGATTATTGTAGCATTGCCCAATCATCTAATAGTTCCTCTATAGTAGGAATCAAAGAATGATCCTTAACCGTCACAGAGTTAAGAGCTCTATAATCCACACATAGGCGCTAAGAACCAATAATACATGACATGAAGAAGGGTCATGACTTGGAATGATTAGGCCTTGGTTGAGGAGGTCTTGCATGAGGTTGGTCATTGCTTTTTTTTGGGAATGGGGATAGTGGTAGGGTTTAACACCGATAAGGGAGGTATTAGGGAGGAGGGTAATATGGTGATTGTGGAATTGGTTTGGAGGAAGGTCTGTGGGCGTATGGAAAATTGGTGAATATATGAAAAGTAAAGTTTGGATTTTGGGATTTAAGGATGATGGAATGGTTAATGAAGTGGAGGGTGGGTTGGGTTTTTGATTGATTGGAAAATTAAAAGGTGGCAAGAGGCAATCACCTTATGGTGCAACATTTGGCTAAATTGATGGAATGTGGATAATGTGGGTGGGTTATGTGGATCAGCTTGAATAGTAATGGGGACTCATTATGAGTAAAGGATAGATGAAGGGTGGAGAAATTAGTGATGAGGGGTCCCAAAGTACATAACCAATCCATGCCAAGCATGACATCAACACCTTCAATAGGTATTAGGTAAAAAGGGTTGTATAATAGATGACCTTGAGTGATAATTGGAACCTATGCACAAAGGCTTCTACACGCAATATGTTGGCCATTTCCCACCATCACAAATAACTTTGGTGTTGAGATTATGGATAGTTGAAGGTGGTCTGCCAAATAGGGTTGAAGTATGTTATGAGAGCTATCAGTATCTATGGGCACACAAATAGCAATGTTACGAAATTTGCCTTGAATTGTAGAGTATATGGAGAAGGATGATCGATCAAGGTTTGGATGGATGGATGAAAAAGGTTAGTGTCGGGGTTTGATGAAGGGGAAAAATTAGGTTTAGTTGAAGAAACAATGGCCTCGTCCAAGTTGTCCCCAACTTAAAATAGGAAATGAGAGGTGGTGCATTTGTGACCTAGCACGAACTTATCATAATTATGACAGAGGCCTTAAGCCCTCCACTCCTGCATTTGAGCTTATGTGAGTTGTTTAATGGGCTAAAGGGAGGTATGTGAGGAGGTGTAAGATAAGTAACTCATGTCGAAGTTCTGATTTTAAGCCAGAGACAACTATTTAACAAGTTTTCATTAGAAAGACTATAAACCCTATTAGAAAGTTTCTCAAATTGCGCTTGATATTTAGAAACAAACCCATATTGACACAATTTGTAGAGCTCTTCTTGATGGTTCTCATAGGAAGATGGGCCAAAACAAAGCTCCAAAGCACGAGTAAAGGAGTGCCACTCAATGAGTTGTTGATTGTGGTACATCCACGTATACCAATTGAGGGTTTTCCCTGCCTTATAGAAAGCAACAATATGGAGACGAGCTTCCAAGGGAATCTGATATAGGAGGAAAAACCGCTCGGCCTGAAAAAGCCAATCAAGTGGGTTTGGACCTTAAAAGGTTGTGAGTTGGAGTCTTGGTGGTTAGATAAAAGTGATAGTGGGTTGAATTGGTGGTGTAAAAGGGGGTTGATGAGAGATGTAGGGAGGGGTATACCAGATGTGAAAAGGTTTTGGGGGCACGGTTGGGTGGTAGTATTGTGTGTGAAAGAGGTTGGCATGAAGGAAAAAGGAAGGCCAAAGGCATAGACAGGGTAAGGGATATTTTGAGAGGTGGTGGTGGGGGGGGGAACGGAGATTGGCAGAGATATTGCCTGAAAGTGGGGTTGGAAATGCAGGAATAATAGGGGAAGAGGTCATAATTGTGGAATGAGAGATGACAGAGTTAGTTACAGAAGAAGGTGAGCTTAATGGCAAGCCATTCAAGGGCTTAGCAGCCAAGGTGGTGAGTTTTTTCATGACTACATCCAAGGATTGTTGCATAGTGGCTTGGTGAGTGTCTTGCGCTTGTTGAGCTTCAAAATAAGTTTGCATTATCCCAAATTTTTTGATGAGGTGATGGATGGCATCGTCCACCTCCTTAGATGGTTTGGGAGGCATCAAGATGAAAACACCATTGTTAGGGAACTATTAGGAATTAGGGCTACACTGCCAAAAACTATAAAATTGGCTTACCCCAAATTTTTCGAAGAACAATCTTGATCGAAAAACGATTTCCTTTTACTCCTTCAAAAGTAGCTTCCCGCATCCTTTGCTGTCTTCTCCACTGAGTTTTACTCAAATTGTTGAAAGGTTGTCGAAAGCCACGACCATAACTTCCCGTTGGGAATTTTCCTAGATTTCCTTGCACTGGGTTCCGTGGATAAGCCATCACTTGTTTCCCTCGACCTATTCCTCCGACCATAGGTCTTGGCGGTGCATTCCATTTGCCAATAGGCACATTAGCATTTGGAACAAAAGTGTTAACAAACCTCGATGAATTATACATCTCCATCTTTCCTACTGGAGCGTTATATTGAGGCATGTGAACCTGCCTCATAGTTAACCCAGCATTCAACCCGACGTTGGGCTTAGGCTTTTGTCGAAGGTTTTCAGCCTTATAATTCATCATCATATCTGACTCCTCAAAAGCCTTAGCAGCAGCCCTATCAAATACAGCACTACATCGAGGGCATAACATCACTTCTCTATCAGCTTCTTTCTTTTTCGACAAGAAATCAACTAAGCTATCCCCCTCTTTAGGATAAATGGGCTCCTGCTCCTTAGCAAAATCTTCCATTAGTTCCTCGAGCTTCTCATCAGAAATGGGCTCAATATTGTCATCCTCTTCGACAGTGACATCCACCATATTGATCCCTCCTATCGAGACTGGCTCGACATATCCAGTATGAGCAGCAAATGGGTCTGTGTCCACTTTCATATCTTTCTCCTCAAAAGCAAGGCGACCATCAGTAATCGCCTTTTCGATAAAATCCCTGAAACGCACACAATTGTTAGTCCAATGACCATACATATTATGATATTTACAAAATTTCTTTCCTTTTCTTTGCTCGAATGGGGGAATTTTATGATTTTCTGGGAGTACGATTTGTTTATCTCTTAATAAAATATCAAATATTTTTTCCGCTTTCGTTACATCAAAACTATACTTCTTACTCGAATTACCTTCTACATTATCTCCTGGTTTTAACATTTGACACTGATACGTAGGGCCAGGGCGTAGTTCTGCTAAGTTGATCTCAAACTCCTCACTCGAGACTTCACAATTAGAATCTTCCCCAAGATCTGAATTTTCTAAATACGCTACCTTCTCCTTTCGAACAAATTTGTCAAATTTTCTCAACCTTTCTTTTTCTAGTTTAATTTGTTCGATCCTTCTCACTTTTTCAGCCAGTTGGGCCATATCCCTCAACTGTTCGTTTACTAACTTCTTGCGTATCGAGAAATCTAACCCTGTCGCCGCAATCCTAACTAATTCATGTTCAGGTATATTGGTGTAACATCGAGATTTTAATTGCCTGAATCTATTCAAATAGTCATCCAAAGTTTCATTATCTTGTCTTTTGATATTCATCAGATCGACTATACTAACTTTTGTTTCCTCTCTAAAGAAGTGTTCATGGAAACTACCCTCTAACTGTACCCATGTGTGTATCGAATTAGGAGGTAAGGTAGTAAACCATGTAAAAGCATGTTTAGTCAATGAACTAGGGAAATATTTCATTTTTAAATATTCGTTATTTGCTAAATCCCCACATTCGACTCCATACCTAGCTATGTGTTCAACTGTTGACTCAGTCAATTCTCCTGCAAATTTCGAGAACTTGGGTACTTTTACTCCTCGGGGTAGTTCTGCTTGGGTAATATAATCAGGAAAAGCTGACACGAAATATGGGCGTTCGTTTCGACCTACATCGAATCCATGCCTATTTAATATTCTTTCCACCATCTGGTCTAAATGATCATTGGGATTCCCATTAGGTCGAATTACATTCTGAAAATTTCCATGCCCCCCAAGGTTTTCTCTGTCATTCAAGTTCGCACTCATGGCTCTCGAAGGTGTTCCCTCACCTAGTTTATCCCCTATTTTGTTTATCAATTCATACAGGGGAGTCATAATGTTATGCATTTGAGTTGACAACAAATTGACCATGTCATGATTACTATGGTCCATTTGCTGTCTAAGAGCCATCATAGCCTGGTTACTAATTCCAGTGGGTACGTAACTGCCTTGTCGAATTAACGAACCTTCCTGACTCGTTCCTATATGTTGATAGGGGTCTTGCATAACAAACCCCATGCCGTTTGGTCCAGGATTATATCCCTGTGGGGATATATGCATTTGGGGATTAGGCCCTATCAAGGGTACTGGCATATCAGCATGTATAGGTTGGGTACTTCGCCAATTAGGTGGCATACCCCAAGGATACTCCCTCGTGACATCTACCAGTTCCTGAGTTACATTATTTGGCCTTGCTGTGTTTTCGAGTAACACAGGAGGAGACCTTGCCCCCCCGGTCACATTAGTAGCACTATCAGGATTGGGGTTAGGCTGTTCTACATTTGCATTATTATGGCTTGCATTCGGATTATTAGACGTAGACATAGTTCTCCCACTCCTTAATCTCATGCAATTCACACACCTAAACTAGTCCAATTATGTTCTGAATTAAACGAGTCCCACCGGGCGTGCCAATTACCACTAGGTTTTGGGTCAAACAGACAAATAGCCTATTTAGGGAAAATAACAACAAAGAAATAAAAGAGAATTGTTTTAACCCTTAACATAATCTTTCACCCAATATGGGTTTGATGTCAATCACTTGGGCCTATCAAGTAGATTTTATATTTGTATAAAAAAAATTATGAAAAACAAATTTAGAACATACTTAAATAGTATTTACCCACAAAGCGCTAAATCTTCCCAAGTCCTTTAGTCAACAATATGGGTTTGAGGTCAACCGCTTGTGACTAAAGGTCTAACTTACCACACTGCAAATGTAAAGTCCAATCTAGTGACATGCAAGATTACATGGCTTAGGCAACTTCTCCATCAACTAAACTTGTTTGTGACTAAAGGTGTCAACAATTATAATCGAGCTATTTATTTTTAGACCCAAAAAAGTCGGGATCAATTTTGCTCAGTTTAAGAGGCTATACTGGCCAATAAACATTTGGCCTGAAAGGTATCAGACTTATTTTGTTAGTTTTTTTTTTTTTTTTTTTAATTCTTAATTTTCTTTAAATAGCAAATAAAATTATTATAAAAATAACATGGCCCAATTTGGTCCAACCCAATAGGCCAATAAGTCAATCCAAGTTAGAGAAAAAATACATTGCATCTAATACGGTTTCCCTGAATGGACTAAATATACACATAGATTGTTGCTATATAAGATAGAAGGTGCTCTCCGGGGAAATCACTACTGACTTTGTCAGCTCTAAATATCATTTGGCTCACGTGTGTTTACATTTGTAATAAGATTGGCTCATATACTATGCTTCGGCTTGAGGGTAATGTTAAATATATGCTTTTGTCACTTGTAATTATATATGGAAACATCATATCCGTTGTTAGAAATTAGGGATTGATTTATTCCTTGATTATAAATAAAGATCAAGGTGATTGAATTATTCATATCAGATATAATCGTACTTTTTCTTGTTTCCTTCCTATCTTATATTTGTAATCAAGGTGGTTAGGATCTCTCCTTGTCAGTTCTGCCTATATAATCCTATTGTAATTATGATCAATCAATATTTTATTTTATAATCAGGGTGCTGTAGAGGGAATCAAACCTAAGCTTTTCAAGTGCTTCAATTCACACAGCTCGTGTTGGTAGTTCATTCTTCCCAATCATGCCCTTGGTTTTGGAGTATCATCCGATAAGAAAGGCAGAAGTGGAAGTCATTAAATTACCTATTTCTTTCAGAGTGCTTAATTGTCCAACATGGATGTTTTGTAGAGCATAGTGGTTAATTATTTCACTTTTTTAGTGTATATGATCATGCCAACCAAGAAATGAGAGATCCTGCCAAGTTCTTGCTTTTTATTTTATTATTCACCCTGGATTCTAGATTCTCAATTTCGGGTAGGTGTCCATAGATTTTAGAACAATCTGTTGCACTACACCTCAGGAGTTTGTCATGGTTTACTGAAGATTTTAGGACTTAAGAAAGAAATTGGCTGGAAGGAGGTCATCAATACTCTAGAGAATATAAATTGATTCGCAATATAATATGGACTGCTTCCTCCAAAATAATGATCAAGCTTTTTCTTGAACTTGAAAATGTGGTGTCATGATGTCATAAATACTAATGAAAGAAAAATGAAGAAACTAGCAAACTTGAGGCTGCAAATGTTATTACAAATAATATTTTCGGTCATTTATTTCTTCACATTCTAGCATTTCTAATGTTCCATGCATTTACATGATAATCTCTTAACTCCCTAAGTAATTCTAGTGTTGGTCGTAAACTCCCAAGAATATATTGGCAAGATATTTATAAATACCTTAATTTCAGAGGCTGAACTCCCGAGTTGACAATGTTCTTCTTTTGATTTGTTGTATCGGTCAATTATTGACTTCATGCTGGAAAATGTCATTCAAAATCAAAATGCGTAAGATACGTGCTCTGTTGACTGAAACACTCAACAAAAGAAAATAGGATTACCCTATAAAATAGGATAGTATTGCAAGAAGAAATACTTATACCTCAGTAATCTTTTATCAATTTATAAACTAATTCACATGTCTAACGAATAAGATTTAGTAGAAAGCAATATTTTATTCCTATAGTAGTTGACTCAGTAGGAAAGAGTTACTAAATAAAATAAAAATTTGATGTAGCGATTATAATCAGTCTTTAGGATTGTGTAACTTCGAAATTACCTCTCTTCGCAAGGGGAGTAAATTGTTATAATTTTAAGTGATGTTCACGACTATACCTATTCTGGAATGTTATTTATGTATATGATAAACATGTCAGTCATTTGGAATTGGGATATTTTTACTTTATCTAAATTCTGCAAGATGTAGTTAAGGGTAACTAATGGATGAATTGAAATTTTTTTAATCTATCATAATGAATTGGATTAAAAAAATTAATTGATTTATTTAATTTTTTTTAAAAAAATCACTTAAAAAATCTAACCTATATTTTTATAAATCGTTACATTTTTACTTAGTTTTTTATAATTCACAATGCTTTTATTTTTATGTTAAAAGTCTTCAAAAATTTTAAATCAATAAACATTCCATATTTAATTTAATTAATTTTAAAAAAGTAGTGAATGGATGAATTAGTTTTGATCCATTAATTATTTTTATTGTAATAGATAGATTCAATGTATTTACTTAATGAATTTGATGAATTGTGAATTAATGGATTCATTTTTCACCCTTAGATGTAGTATATCTTAGTAGAATGATCAAGTTCAAAGAGATAACGGGATAAACAATGCAACTAAACATGAGGAGCACGATGAGGGATGACCTCTATGAAGTTGTTGAAGGTATGAAGGCACAATCATGGGTAAGAATGTGATTGTCTTGGTAGATTCAAGATCATCTCATAATTTTCTATTCGTGGTGTTGTTAAGATGTTGAGAATATGTTGTAGAAATGAGTGATGGGCATGAATTTCAAAATATGAGGGTTTGTAGAAATTTAGAGTTAAAGTTATCAACTATAAGTATAGTGCAAGACTTTTATTATTTTTTGAGGTTGATGTGGTGTTAGAATGAGTGATTGAAGGGTTTTCGAAATATAAAGGCTAATTTTAAAGAGTATGTGATGAAGATGAAAGTGAATGGAGTAAAGGGAGAGTTAAAAGGGGGATTTATCTTTATCTAGAGTGGTGGCATCCTTGAGGTGATGTTGAGGGAGCATAAAAGGGGGGGAATGGAGCGTATTATATAGAATTATAAATGTTAACACTTCATGATCTAGATTTGCAAGGAAGGGTAGATGGATTCAAGGGGATATTGGAAGCATGTGTTGAACTCTTTCAAGAAATAGTTGAATTGCCTATAGCTAAAAGATGTAAGCATTCAATAGAGATAAAGGTAGGGTTTCATATACCACTATAAACCATATTGATATCCCACAATCAAAAGCATACAATCAAGAAGTTTGTGAAGGACATGTTGGTTGTAGGGTTTGTAAGACCTAGTGTAAGTCTTTAGTCCTATGATTTTAGTTAAAAAAATAAGGGGTTGGTGAGAAGCCTCGTATATATCATGATTTGTACAAGATTAGACATTGTACAAACAATGTTAGCAATCAATAGGTTTATAGCAGATCTTGGTAGAGATCATTGGAATATTGTTAAAAGGATCCTTAGATACGTCAAAGGAACCTCAAATGTTGCATTATATTTAGAAGGATCCAAATTTATTATCAAGGGCTATGTCGATTCAAATTTTGTAGGTCATTTGGATAAAAGAAAATCTACTATTGGTTATATGTTTACACTTGTTGGAGGGGCATTAAGATGGTTATCTAAGTTACAGATTATTGTGGTTCTATCTACTATAGAAGCTGAATACATTACAACTACCCAAGTATGCAAAAAAAAACAATATGGATTCAAAGGCTAATGGAGAAACTTGGACACAAACAACAAAAGACTACTATGTATTGTGACAGTCAAAGTATCTTCCACATTGCAAAGAATCCGATATTTCATTATGGAAAAAAGTAAATAAAGAGAGAAGAGGAAAATTTGGAATTAAAAGGGAATCATTAAGCTTTATTTATAACCTTAGTAGGGTCCAAGTGAAAATTTTCCACTAATGTGGAACTTCTTTTTCTAACAATTCTCCCACTTGAAGATTGTTATTAAGCTAATCATATCTTCACACCACTCTTTCCTACACCACTTTTTCTTCTTTGTCATTCCATGTTGTTTATGTTTTTTATTGGCCATATGAGGATTGACACCATGTAAACTTGTCACTATTGACTAACTTTGTCATCACATATATTAGGTTATCTTTAGTATGAATCTTTTTCATATCCACACTTCCTTCTTCTACTACTTCGCGAACAAAGTGGTATTGTATGTTTGTGTACTTTGTTTTGGAGTGGAAAGTTGGATTCCTTGCAATGTGTAAAGCAATTTATTTGTGCCCAAGTTCTTCCATTAGCCTTTGAATCCAAATTGCTTCCTTGCATGCCTAGGTAGCTGCCATGTATTCAGTTTCTATAGCAAATAGAGTCACAATAGTCTATAACTTGGATAACTAGCTTATTGCCCCTCTAGCACGTGTAAACACATAGCCAGTAATATATTTCCTTTTATTTAGATATAGCCCTTGACAAATAATTTGATCCTTCAAAACATAATGCAACATCTAATGCTCCTTTGATATATCTAAAGATCATCTTAACAATATTCCAATGCTTTCTACCAAGATTTACCATAAACTTATTGATTTCTTCACTGATTGTGCAATGTCTAGTCTTATACAAAACATGGTATATACAAAACATGCATACAACACTTAAGGCATTTCTTTCCTCTTCACCTCATTGCTAGAACCCATACTTGAGGATAATTTGCAATTGACAAGAAATGGGTAGAAATTGGCTTATAATCTTGCATCTTGAAGTGTTGCAAGAGTTTCACTATCTTATCTGTCTTGATAAATTTGCATTCCTAAAATCTTATTTGTTGGTCCCAAGTCCTTCGTATCAAACTCCCTAGCCAACTCTTCCTTCAATTCTAGGATCTAATCTTTGTTGGGACCTACCACCAACGTGTCATCCACATACAACACAAACATAATGAAATCATTATCATCCAACTCTTTGTAGTATGTTCAATGTTGTGAACCCAATCTATTGTAACCAATGCTAATAATGAAATAATGAAATCTCTTGCACCAACATCTCAACGCCTATTTTAAACCATACAGAGATTTAGTCAACCTACAAACCAAGTTTTTTTTTTCTTGTTCTTTAAAGCCTTCCGATTAGAGCATATATATTTCTTCTTCAAGTTCTCCATGAAGAAAAGTAGGCTTTACATCAAGTTGTAAATCAAATGCAACACTCTTGGCCATAACAACTTTAATTGTAGTCAATCAAACAATTGGCGAGAGTATTTCATTGAAATCAATGTCTTCTTTATGAACATATCCTTTAACTATCAATCTTGCATGACACCACTCCACTTGATCATTTCCATCTCGTTTTTTCTTGTAAACCTATTTACATCCAATGGTTTTTCAACCTTCTAGAAGCTTAACAAACAAGATGTGAGATAACGAGACCATCTTAGCACTCAGACTATGTCATGGCGAGTCACAATGCATATTGTCTTCTAAGTAAGAAGGAGAACCATCAACCTTTCAAGAGTCTTTAAGGAGTTTTGATGTTTATCTATAGATGATAGCAATGTAAGAAGAAATGGATACCTTACATAGAAATAAGACATAGAAACTAGAAGTCTAAAGAAAACTCTACACTCTTCAAATGAGTGAATCCATCTACTTCAACAATCTGAATACACTATTCACTTAGATTTTTACATTATATTTCAACATAGTAGCAAATGAATATGTGAAACCTCTACTTCAAAGTTTACCAAATTTGTATGATTAACTCATCGTCAACATAATAAATAACAATGACATTATCCATCAATCCTTTGAGGTTTTGTTGGAGCTATTCTTGAAGAAGAATCCAAGCAAAAGAATAAGGAAGATAGGTTGAAATTTTTTAAACAAGCAAAATGTTAACAATGATGAGAAGATTGGTAGAACATGGCCTTAGTGGGAGTCAATATCATAGTGTATCAAAATCTCAAAGAAGAAAGAATCTCAAATGTTACAATTGTGGCATGAGAGGGCATGTAAAGAAAGATTGCCGGCACAAAAAGAGCAGAGAAAAGAACTTCAAAACATCAACATCTCAAGGTTACGTTGTGAGTACCTTAGATGATGCGAAAGTTTTGTATAGTGAAGTAGTAGTGAGTTATAGAGGTAGAAGACAACTCTATGATTGTTGGATATCGGATTCAGGTGCAACTCGACATATGGCTCCACATTGATACTAGTTTTCCACTTATGAACCAATCTTGGGAGGATGTGTATTCATGGGAAACAATCATGCCCTAGAAATTGCTAGAGTTAGTACTATCAAATTGAAAATGTAAGGTGGAATTGTTCAAACAATTCAAGTGGGAGAAATGTTTGAAAAAGAAGTCCTACATCGGTGGGGAACTTCTCACTTGGATCCCGCTAAGGCTGTAAATAAAGTCTAATGGTCTTCCTCCTGATCATTCCAAATCTTTTCACCCTCTCTTTATCTACTTTGAGAGTTTTCTCTTTAAGAATATTTTAGTGTGAAGTGACTTGACCCTCTACAACTTGGTGAGTGTTCCAAATCTCCTTCCTAGTCTTTTTCTCTACAACACTTAACAAAACTAAATCCTCCATTGCTAAATGTAAATTGGCAACAACATTGTCTCCATTTCTCGCCACCTTTCATCAATGATATCTACGGGTCTACCTTCAATTACACTAAGACAATTGTCTTTTCACAAAATTGCTCTTATCTTTAATTTCCACGATGAGAAATTACCC